TGAGGCATACAAGGCATTTTACTGCCGTCGCAAGCAGGTTAGTTTTGCATTGCAGTTGGCAGCTCCGTCCAAGCGATTTACTAATGCCTTTGTCTGATTACGCTATTTATGGCATAAAAATGAGTGCGCGTGCTAAGAAAATTTATTGCAATAATTACAAACTATACCACACCAGACTGACATAAAAATGTATGCGAGCAGTGAGGATTGTGTGAGAGATTTTTTGTATTTTATACATTGTGTGCTTACCACTCTCTCAGAAGAATGGCTTCTGCGAACCGGCATTTACAAGAATAGACACTAGACAAATTGAGATCCATTTTTCAGGGTACGCTTAGTGCAATAGCCTAAAATACGATTTTTGGGAAGTTTTGCTTTATATTTTGCGTACACACAGTAAAATTTTTTTAAAGAAAATAAATAAATATTTTTCGAATTAAACTTTATCTTTGACGGCGTTATAATAGAAAGTCCACCACTGCTGCAATGATATAGACACTTATTACTTACTTCTATTCCACACTTCTCTGTAAGGGAAGGCAAAATTAGTGACCGATTTCAAGTTTACTTCTAATGGATTTGGGTAGAAACAGTATGTTAGAACGCCCCTTATTACAGTCGACTAATCGAGCGAATTTATCTGTCTAAGAACTGATTTCGCTGTCGCTTCTTAGTTTTAAAACTTTGCTAATTATTAGAAAATAAATAATTGTAAGCAGTTAAACTCGTCTCGTAAATTTCAAGCTCATGGGTACTACATCTCGTACTTACTTAATCATATATTGTGCGTTAAAACTAAATATATTATTAATCAATGGCAGTGAAAATTTCAAAAAGAAATTCAGACCTCAGTTCTAGACTGAGTTTTTGGTAATATACAATCAGCTTTACTACAAAGCAAAATTGGGAATATTTATAAATTTACTTATATGTCTATTGTAGTGTAACACACAATATTTAGAACAAGTTTCCTTTCTTTACTAGAAACTCACACATCTTAAACGTCCTCAGGAAAATATATTGCAAACCCACACGTTGTGGGAAAAACCTTGAGAACTTCAATCATTCGCATTCAGTACATGCACTTTCTCCATCTTCTTGCGCCCGAACTCGCCACATTTGCTACTTTCATCTTTCTTGCAGGTAACAACTCTGCTTAAGAATGCATTATTTTCCACTTCGATAAAAGTTTCTAAAGTAGTTTTTGCACTCTGAAGTATTTTATTTTATTTGGTTAGCGGTTTGGTTTGGCAACTCACACACATAGTTTTGAAATCTACACTCATCCACCTGCCAAACAGACGTAACCCGAATCAGCTGGGCAAACTACGAACTCACAAGTACAAGTGTATGGACAAATAATATAATATTTAAGTTGTAAAAAGTCTCATTTGTTTTTACACATGAAACCGTTGGATAGTGTAAGAGAGTGGGCATGTGAAGATTACAAATAAAAAATGAGACGTAAGTAGCCTTGAACACTTGAAATGAAGCAAAAATTGCTGCAGACACAATATTAAATTCAGATAAAAGTAAGAGCGCAAAGAAAAAGCAAGTAAACTTATAAAATACACGAACTACAAAAACGATGACAACAGGGGAATGCAAAAAACTTTGGATTAAAGAATCGTGTGTGAAATAATGTAGGTAGTAGGTAGGTAGGTCCAGTGTGGTAATAATTTTACAAGACACTTCAAGAAAAACATATGAGCACATAAATAGGTGTACAGATGTAGATAAGAAAGAAAAGGAAAGAGTGGCCGATACACTGGGGAGAAAACAGGAAGCCGAAAATTGCAAACATTTTACCAGTATACACACATACCATATGTCAAGGACTAATAGAAATCCACTGAAGTAAAAACAAAGTGTAGCACTAGTTTTTTAACTGTATTTAAAGAATACGGAAGGAAAGATAAATAAAAACAATTTCCAAAAAGGAAATTGTTACAAAAAATCCACGACACAATCCTTATGACAACCTTTCTCTTCACTTCATATTTTTTGGTGCAAATATATTTCATTTTAGTGTGCTCGTTCAAGCAAGTGCAAACTTTGACACACTAAATTGTGTTAAAAGTAAACAAAACAGGCTACAATGTTGGGCTGAGAAAAAGAGTTACAAATGTCAACTGCAGTTCAGAAGAGGTTGAAGGTTATTTGTTAATAAGAAAAATAAGCTGAACCTCATTGTAATACAGGTGAAAAAGTTACTGAACCTATAACATACTTATTAATAGCGTATAAGTAAAATTTGTGCTAGTGTTACATGTTGCGCTTATTGACCTTTTAAACGATGGGATTTCAGAAAATTAGCATTAAACAATTTACGCCAAATATCCGCAGCAAGATAAATATCAAAAATAATACTGTGAAAATTCGAACGATACAAAATATGATATGTCCGCATTTGGTCTTATGATATTGAAAATTATTTAATATTAAGAAAAAGAAATTGTATCGAGTAAAATGCGTCAAATTGCAGATAGGGGCCACACAGCACTAAACAGTGAGCTTACAGCTCGCAAAGCTTTGAATGAATTGATATGGTGTTTGGAGATAATTTATTTTTTAATGAGTGATAACGGTGCCTAGTCGATACGTTTTCTTAGTTGTCTATAAAATAAAGTTTAATTTTATATCTATGGAATATAAATTTTGTGTAATTCCTTCTTTGAAAAGTACACTTTTAAATTTTTTTACCCGTGTTGTAGAGAAACCTTTTAATAGTGATGTTCTATGCACAAAGTATGCCCAGAAGACATAAAAAATTGAATAACTTCCAAAAAAGCATTTTTATTTCACAGCTAACATTGAACTCAGCGAACTTTGCATACGCTGCAAAAATTTTGAATGATTGAAAGTGGAAGTGTCTGACTTGTGAGTGGCATACGAAAGTAGCGGAAACACGAAAAGCTCGAAAATTGGCAACTAAATAAGTAATGTATGGCTATATGGAGAAAAAGCATAGAAAAAATTCGAAAAAATGCGGGAAATCAATTTGAGGTCAAAAAGTTAACAACCAACAATTGTCCGACGGCAACACTTTTGCTTTTAAAATAGCAAATTCCAAAAGGATAGCAAATAAAACATTCCAAAAATTTCAGCGGAACCAAAAAAGTTGCAAAGAAATTAACAACTTTATGAAAGAAAAGCATACAGATTTTTTAGTGCAAAACCGATTTTATGTAGTGCTGGAACAAGCATAGAAATGCAAAAAATGGACTAGATTGGTTGATTGGAGAGTTTTTAAGTTCTGAAGGTTACCACAATAATCTCGCTCAAAGAAAAGTGACATCAAAATTTAAGTGCAAACGTTAATTAAAACTAAATTATTTTTTCTCTACAGCACAGAGTTTTATTTGTCACAACTTTAATGAATAAATGAATATTTTAGCCTTTCAACAACATTATGATCAAGTTGTTTGATAAAAACTATAAATATATTAACCACATAATAAGATTTTAATTAAATGTTTCGAAAATATTGACATGTAATTAGCTTTAAACTCGATTTCCAGCAAAATACTTTATTACACTTACGCTTTGTTAAAAACTCTTAGCAATTTCTTTTTGCAGCACAACTTTATAATATTATATGAACATGTAATCAAATTTACGTATGTAAATATTACGAGTTTAATATAAGCTTAAGATAATGCTTACAAAAACATGTGCAAATGCGTGAAATGTAGGACACTGTTGAATCCTTACAGGAAATTTGCAACAGATATTAAGTACATACTAACAAACTGATAGATCTGACTGCCTACTGTTCTGTACAGTATTCTTTGACTATTAATAAATTACAATTATTAACCGATCGAGTATTATATCAACAAACAAATTTTATGAATATTCTTTGAGCAAATCAGTTTTCCTGCAGGTCTCTTTTGAGCAATCACGCACCGAAAATACATAACATTTAAAGCTACCCAAATCGGATTAAAGTAATCCATAGCTGTGATTGTGTGTATGCTAACACACACAAGCTATATTATTGTGTCTGATATCAGGATTCACATTTATTAAGTAGAAAGTTTACAACACTATATGTGAAATTGAGGCGATGTGTTTAAGCATTTGGTAAATTAAACTTTGCAGCTCATGTGGGAAGGCATTTATACTGAATAAACTACGAGTACATAGATTGGTGTAGAACATTCCTCATGGAAAGCTTAATGTGACTAATGTTTTGAGAGGCATTCTTAAATTTTCTTTTTGTTTGATGAGATGAGAATGGTGCACTTATACTTTTATTTTCTAAATATGTACTGCGATGTGAGGGCTTATTTCAAGAGAAACTATTTTCTAAACATCTGACCTTCTTCCTGTCGATAAATTGAGTACGTATCTCATAAAATAATTTCGCTATTTCAGCAAATTGGATGCACTTTCCTTCTACTTGTATGTAACTTTCAATAATATAGAGTACTCTAAAATATAATAATAGAGTTTTCTAAAATATGATGAACATTTTAAAACAAATATTGTGTGATTTCAAAGAGAAAGTTTATGAAACTACATATACCCGATATGGCGTCTTTCCTACTTCGTCAATATATAAAGTATCTTAATAAGACTTAGTTTCGTATAGTCACTTTGTGACGTTATAAGAAATTTACAGATTTTACCCAATTGACTTGAATCACGATTTTTCAAGCAGTGAATAAGATAGGATATAAGGCACGAAAGTATAACTGTATCTTTTCATTAAACAAGGTGGTACCGAAATTAGTTAGCGAACCCCGTTACTATGTTTTTATACTAAATTCTGCAGTTCCCACATTTTACCCTAGATACACGTGATGTTAGATTCGGCATAACCTAAAGCAAAATATTTATTCCATTCATCCTTCCATTTATACTTTTTGCCTCTATTTATACGTGAGGTAATAACTAAGTACAATTAAGAGGTCATAAACTAAATAAGATTATTTGCTATTAACTCATTTGAAAGTGTTAGAAAATATGGTAGATTTGTGACATACACACTGCACCTTTTAGCTGTAGTTTACTAAACCTCAAGCAGGGATTACTTCTCTTTGATTCGCATTGATATAGCATAACACAAATCGGTTCAAACATTATTGCAAGTGTGTCGCAAAGCCACTTATTGTTCAGTCACTTTTTGGGGTTTGGAAAAGGTTCAATAATAAACAAGCAAACACGCGTTTCACCAACTCACGTGATTTTCACGAAAATAAATTAATCTCTGCGTGAAAGCATGTGTACTTTAATAAAAGGCGCAAAACACGGACTGCAGCTGGTGGTCCTATTTTAAGCTACTCAAACGTAAGCAAGCCAATGTGAATATAACTCACCCAATAGGGAGAATTTGTTGAATTCTCTGCACCGATTTCAGGCGAAAATGTGGTGGATTTCTAAGATATTAAAATGACGAAGGCAAACGAGAGCACAAAAGCCTTTTTACACTCATTTCTCGTTTCTCGTGCTAAGCTTCTCTATGAGCAATTAATGAGTGAATTGTTAGAATTTGTAAACAGAGCGAAAAACACTTTTGAGCTAGTTTTTCTTTGAGGCCTTGCAGAGCAAAAGTGAGTTACTCTTTATGGAGTCAGCTTGCTTGGATGGCAAGCAACAGGTAGCTTTGATATTATCTGAAATTTTTAACTCACCTCTTGCCACTTTGAAGTCCAGGATTTAGTGGGGTATTAAACCAGAGAATGTTAATAATTAGAGAAGGCGCAAATGTTAAAAAGTACTAAATTGAGATTTTCACAAGAAGGAACATCGAAAAATACAACTTTGAATCTTTTAAAATACACCACGCAATGATCGAAACGCAGAAAATGCTATAAATAGACACAGCGAATGTTCTTAAATGCATTTTTGTAATTTTAAATACACCTTTAAATTATATAAGAGGATTATCGGTTAAAGCCCCAGAGTTTACATTAAAATGGGTAATTAATAGATAAATTCTTCAACTCATATTTGCGCGTTGCATGAACAATATCTAATAGGCAAAGGATAGCAATAAAACAGTGGCTAAGCGGCGGTGATTTCGCTTTACGGCTCAGGTCGTAAGCGTGAAGAAGTTAAGGTCAATCCGAATACGAGCATATAAGTTCGAATCCTAAATCTCATGCAACTTCAATTTTAATTTAATTTTTTATTTTATTAACTGGAATCTTAACATATCTCAATTCAATTACATTAATAGCTTCTTCTACTTCCTGAGATAATTAAAAAATATTTCAGGAAAATATGTTCACATGTTTAGGTTTATTAAATATTCCCGTATTTACACAAATTAACATTCTCTGATTAAACCTTGGTTGCACCAAATTTTAGCTTAACACTTCGTTAAAAAAACAAGCAATTGATGTTATATTTATTTGAGATGTATTTATATAATATAACTTGAGAGGATCCATATTAATTTGCGAGTATTTTCATGTTTTTCATTCTTAATGAATAGAGAAGGCGCAAATGTTAGCTGTACTAAAATGTTAATTACGATGAGGGAACATCGAAAACGCGTAAGTTCGAAAATAAAATTTCACCATCCTATCAATTTACGCAACGAACTACACCACTCTCTAAGCAAAATGTATATACATACATATGCACAGATGTTCTTTGGTATGCGCATAAACAAAAATTTAAATAATATAAACGAAAGTAATTGACTTCTGACAAGAAAATATAAATAATGAGGGAAATAAAATGAAAATAGAATTCAAATATCATTTAATAAAAAAAAGTTATAAAAATAAAAAAGGAGTATATAAAAATATCTGTTAGGATTTGAACTTCTCTGCTTGCGCCTTTTCTATTCATTAACATTCTCTGCTTCCACCATAATATCTATATCCGGTAACTGCTTTCGCTATAGTCCTTATTACTAAATAATACCAACAGATGGCGTACGTGCTCTTTCCTTTTGCAAAAGTAAATGTGCAAGCAATTTTTGCATAGCTCGCTCTCATCCTTTGAGATTCTGGGTATTATTAAAAAATCTTCATAAAAAATGCTATTTTTATACCCTGATTTAAGTTTGCCACGAATTTTGTAACACCCAGAAGGAAATGTCCGAGGCCCTATATAATGTGTATGTAAATGATCTGCATGACGAGCTGAGTCGATTTAGCCATGTCCGTCTGTTTGTTTATACGCGAACTAGTCCCTCAGTTTTTGAGATATCGATCTGAAATTTTGCGTACGTTCGTTTCTCTTTATAAAGCTTCTCATTTGTCGGAATCGTCGATATCGGACCACTATAGCATATAGCTGTCATACAAACTGAACGGTCGGAATCAAGTGCTTGCATGGAAAAGTTCGGATCAAATAACTCTCCAATATAATAATAATTCTTATATTTACATCCACATATGTATCGCGATAGTTGATTTGTTTTTCGTTGTGCACCCTCAATCAGGGACATCGGCAAGAACGCCAAGAACATACATTGGTATTAGGCAGTAATGGTCAGCATTCGTTTTAAATTAGATGTGGTAATATAATGAATTTTTCAAATTCTTAGCCCTTGTGCTTAGGTATTTTATTATTGCATTTGTGCTTGAGTGCATATATAGCACATATTACAAAGATCTTTTGCAGACTCAATATTAGTAACTATTGGTGGTCATGAGTGTGCGCTTTTATTGTCTGTAGGTGCATTATACTTTTGTTGTTGTATGTAAGTGCATGAAACCACTTCCATTTGTATGTATAGAATTTCATATTCGCTAATCTTATAATTTCTTGCCAGCCGCTGCAATTAATGCCAAGAGGATCCAGCTCATTTGAGTCTTCGGACTCGAATCATTATGCCGAACGCTTGCATGTGTGTTCGATAATGAAGTTATGCCCACATTCCGTTTAAGAAAGTTGGCTTCCAGTCAGGCTGGGCGACTTCTGCTCGCTTTTGTGTGTCCGTCTGTGCTGTTGGCTGGCGTCAGTTGTCCAAAGGTCCGCAGGCTGAAATTGTAAATCACATTTTTGCCATTTTGTCTAATGCCAAAGCGTCGTGTGTGGATATTTATTTATGGAATTTGTATTGTCTACTTTGCTTTGCAGTTTTATTTATGTATTTGATGCATATATATTTATATAGATTTGTGTGCGACTTCAAATGATTTTTAAAATTTTGGCATAAATTTGCTTTATGCAGAAGTCGCATAAAAAAGTTGCGCAATTGCCAGCAGTACTAAATTATGCTTTCAATTTACGCGTTTTATATAAATCATACACATATGTACATGCATACCAATGTAAGCGCAGAAATGAGGTTAAGCATTTAAGCACATCGCCAGTGCATTCACACACGAAAATATTCATATCTCTACCAGCCTATTTTGTATGTTTATATGTGCGTTTTAGTTTCTGTTGCAAAATCCAAATGGCATGTATGTGCTTTCTTAGTATATGCACCATATAATTACACAGTTTGCACATTTACAAGTGGCGAGTGGTTATTTAATGAGCAATCCCAGTCTATTGCGACAAGCAAAGCTTTTCTGTCCACTGCAGCGTGAAAAATAAGCAGTTAACATAATTAAATTTCCATTAAAGTTTAACAAAATGCCTGACGTAAAACTTTTAGACACACGATGTTGCTTAATGACGAAAGTTTCAAGCATAACATAACATAGGCAATAAAAGTCTATAACTCGCTAATATGCATATTTGTTGTTTTTAGTGTAGTAGTGTAGTTTCTGACCCAATTCACAGCTTTCTCTTCTACTAATTTCTCTACTATGTCAACATATTCATATATTTTTACATGCTCATTTGCCCTTTGATCAGATTAGCAAATTTGAAAAGCCTTAAACATTTAAATCTATTCACAGTATACCGTTTACCGTTATCAGAAATTCACTACATTATTTCAATCTTGGTAGATTTTTGAAAATTTGTTGAGGATAGTTTCAGTATTATGGCAATAAGTATTACATATTTTTCATGTTTGCACCAGACCCGTATAAATTCTTTTGTTTCAGTTTAGCTAAAGCTGGACAATGATTGAGAAAGTTTCTGAAGGTTTCCGCCTCACATTCTTCTTTACAGACGTGTTTGCGCTATTTGAGTCTGGAAAGAAAATGAAGTCTCATATTTGGAGTTTTCAATTTTCTGCTAAGTACTTACCAAAATAAATTTTTGTAGAACTACCAGTCTATGCGTGGCTCACGAGCCTACAGGACTAACCTATCCTATTATATATATGGTTTTACGGAAACCTCATAGGTGTTGATTGTATGTACGAGTATATATTTTCGAATAAATAATCTTACTTCTACAGAGTATCTTAGAAAATAGTTTTTAAACATTAATATTTTCCTTTTGTAACGCAATCACAACCTCAATACGATGATACCTTTCATAGGTTATTCTTAGAGAAATATCAGTGTATGCCAACACATTCGACAAAGAACATATTAGTAAAAAAATATGGGAATGAAACTTGGCTTGAGAATGAATATGCCACAAAGATCATATACAGTACGAGTATGTCAAGAAAATGGTACTTAGAAGAATGCTTTCTTTAGGCTGCAGTTTTCAACGTGGCGCATTAACATCGTTTGTGCTTAAAAACGTATACCGCAGTACATACCAACTGATTTGCCTTATTTGTTTTTCACCTTCAAAATATTTTATTTAAATTCTAATAATAGAGCTCCATCAGGATAATATTTAGATTCTTCAGTAAGTTTTTCAAACATAATATATTTGAGTTTCAGAAGCAATTGGCAAGAAATGTGATCAGCATCTAATTTGCGCCCTTTTCTCTACACTCAAAGCTTCAACCCAACCGAAGTGTGTTGAGTCAATCAATAAGAAGTGCTGAGGATATTGGAATCTCTTTTATACTGATCTGATAATTATCTAACATAACTTTCTTAGCCCGTCGATATGTTCGACCGCTTGAACTATATTACTGGCGTTATCTGTAGAATAAAAGTTCTAAAATTTTTGCAACATTTCATACTTTTTCTATCGTAGTATAAAATTTAAATAAACGATTTTGCTTTGTAGAACGCAACACTATGATATTTTGTCATAGTATTCGATTGGAAAAATGTGAACCTTATTGCTTTTTGCATACTTTTAATTAAGATACTCACAGAAGAAATCATAATCAAGCTTAATGCCTCCTCTCATATCATGTTGAAATTAAAAAAGTAAACTATTAGCTGTTCTCTTATAAAGTATTCCTTTTTAAACTAAATTTGTCATTAGCATTAAAAACCTATTTATTATTTATTGTTTCTGTTGTTTTTTCTTTATAATAATATGAGATTTTAATCATTTAATTCCTTTATATATCTATCTAACTCATGGATATAGTCCTATATGTTTTTATGTGAAGACTGTTATTTAAAAATTATAAAAAAAATGTGCAACACTATATCATACTACATTGATAGAAATATTTTTCTCAGTTTTATTTTGTTTTTACTCATGGATATTTCGCTATGATTTCTAAACACTGTATTTGAGTACCGTTTCAATTATGGCAAAACAACCAGTGGTAACGATTGTTATTGCATTCATGAATTCCAAAGTTTTTAGCGACTCATCAATTAATAATCACATGGTCCAGAAATAAAATATTTGTTATTGTTGATAGAATGCCCTTCAAAAGTCAAACAGGTCGCTCAGTCACTTCACGCACTCGCTCCACTCTACACGACGTACGCCAAATTACGCGCCAAAACTCAAACTACAGCTAACTATAAGAAACTCCAAAGAGAATACATGAAAAAATCGAACGCCTTAATTTTGTCCTGCGTGCTAAAAGTTTATTATTTTACTTATTGGGAATGTTAAATAAATTGTTTTATAAAACTGTTAATTTCTTCAAATTGTGTTAAATTTTTTCGACTACGACTGTTCCAAGCCCCTGTTTTCTGTGTTTTCAAAAAATTCCGACCACGGTACGCGTTATGTAATTTTTCAACCACATTTTTTGGAAGAAGTGACTTTTTCATTGAATAAAATTACTTGCTTCCCTCTGTTGACGATTCTCAATTTTTTACTGACCAATTGACAAAATTTAATTGCGAAATTAATTTAACGTAAATTGCAAGTATAACGAAGTAACTATATGTTTAAGATAATTCCACGTGCCGATCATTTTTCCTGTGCAACATTTTACAATTGTGATAAGTAAAAAAGTAAATCTATTCGATTAATGTTTGTTAATTCGTGAATTAATTATTGAGTTCCCGCGATTGCGTCGTTTAAAAAAATCCTTTATTAAAAAAGTGTTCGATCGAGGTGAGTGTTAAAAACAGCTAAAAGTGTTGAAATGTGTGTGAAAATGAAAAATATATTGTAATTTTTTTGCACCGATCACATTTAATAAAATAAGTGAGCCATCGATTGGTATTTGGGAATTTCATTGAGCAGACTTTGAGAGCAAGCCTTCGCTGTTAAGTACTCCGAACTACTGCGATCGCCCCTGTTAAGACTCTATACCGAATTTAAATTGTAAAATTGTTTCGCAACAAATGCTGCAGCAACATTACTATTTATGTTGCTTATGTGTGGAAATACTCGCCTATATTAAAAAGGAATAACAAAAAATTACCACACTTGTTTGGATTTTAATTGATTTTATTAACCGGCAGTTTTCACCACTCGATCGCCGCCTAGTTCAATGACCGCTGTACTTCTCCTACCCGTGACAACAACTATTTGAAGATGTTTTTACACCTCACGTAAATATGATTCGGGTCCTTTGAGTTACTTTTTATAGGGATTGCTATTGTTGCTGTTTCAGCTCGCTAAGCGCTCACCTATTCGAACTTAAAATTATTTTGATTGTCCAACCGTCCCTCAGTTGCTTTTGTATGTTCCTCAAGCTTGTCTGGGAATATATATTAAATATAATTTTTTCAAAAATTTTTACTGACCGTGTCTAAATAACTTGTTTATTTCTTATATGAAATATAGAAAATTATAGACTTTCACGTAACATTTTTCGCAACCGAATTTTTATGCCGAAAAAACTTTGAACAACAAAATTTCAAAGCAGCAAAGAAATTTTGCCAACGACTTTGTCTAAATGCGGTTGAAAGAAATTTCGCTGATATTCGCTTTTGACTTTCCTTTGGACTTTTGGCTGCCGACGGTAATAGACGACGGGCTGCTGCCGTATTTGCCGCAAGTATATTTTCTGGATTTACAGCATTTATTTGCTGTAAAGTGAACAAAACGAAGAATTTTTAAATAAATCTGAAGACGTAAGTTAAATGAATTACTGCAAATTTTTTTCCAAGTTCCAATAGATTATTGCATGTATGGTATTGCCAATTGTTAAGGCGCGAAAATATTGCAGGAATTAGCGGTCATCGACTGGAAATCGCACATATTTACATATATAAATGTGAAATTTCCAATTAGATTATGGCTGAGCATCCGATTTGCTGTCAGACTTAGTAGTCATTTCCACGTACGACAATTAAAATCTTTCAACAGCAAATATATTCATCTGTAGCTAATTTCTAAGTGACAACCCTTTTTTAGGCGCTAAAATTGACAAAATTTGTGAAAATTATTGAAAAACAGACAGTTGGGCATTCGCACCCTAAATTGCATATAAGATAGGAAACTATAAAGGAACAACACATGGCTTTGCATTAAGTCCACCATTTTGAAGGTGCAGTTAAATAATTTTATATAATACATAAATTGTTGGGCAAAGTGTTGTTGAGGCCTAAAATCCTAAAATATGGTATGTATATCATAAAGAACTACTAGGTTTTGCTATATTTGCTTTGGAAAATACCAAATGTGGTTTACATTTTCAGATTCAAAGAGATTTAAAAGATATATTTTTATTCGCGAAATTTCAATATGTAATATTATATAAATACATATAAGACTTGAGGAAATACTTGTATGCGTAGGTACGAAGAGAAAAATATGAAAAGTACAGTGCTGGCAATAACCTTGCATTGAATTCTATTTTGCAAATTCAGAATAAGTTGTTTTTGTTTATTTTTAATTTCGGCTAAAAAATGTTTCATTTGATACCCTGAACAGGGTATGTTAACTTTACCACGGAGTTTGTAACATTTAGAAGGAAACGTCGGAAATCCCAGAAAATAGATATGTATTTATATAAATAATCAGTGCCGATATTCGTCTCTACGTCTACATGTCTGCCTTTCTGTCTACATATACGCGAACTAGCCCTCAGTTTTTGAGAAATCGATTTGAATTTTTGCACACATTCCTTTCGATTGGAGAGCTTTTTCATTTGATGAGATGTCGTCAGGAAATTTGGCATGGATTATCGCGTGAATATTGTTCAAGCCACTGCTACAGCCCCCGAAAGTGTTCAGATCGGACCACTATAGGATATATCCTCCATGCAAACTGACCGAACAAAATCAGGACCTTCTATGGAAACTTTTTCATTAGTGAAGTATATATAGCTGCGGCTTTTTTTTTATAAACTGGTTGTTTTTGAAGCATTGTTCATCCAACTTAATACTTTTATGGCTATTGTGGTAGGCGTGTGCTATTTTCGATTCTTGACCTTGACCTTACATATCACTTGCAAAAACTGACATTTTTTTATATTATAACTCATCAAGTAATTTATATTCCAGTAAAGATCTCTACTTCGTACAAATATCTTAATTGCCAGACTGATAACTGAACTTTTCGGACAATTCATGAGAATTGCTAAATACAACAAAAATCTATATACTGATTCCGCAAATTAGTCCTGTTTCCTATATATATCGGCACAATATCGTTAAAACAACAACAACATGATGTTATCCTGTGCACAAATCAACAAGCTCCTTTATCCCAACGCCACAGGCGGAATAACTACCATAGCGCCAGCAACTTCGAGCGCACCACAGTCGATGGGCGCGCCATCTAGTGGAGCCCCGAGTGAAACACAAAGTGAAATTTCATCGGCAGATAGTGATTGGAGTGATATCAGGGCAATTGCATTGAAATTGGGCGTAGCCAATCCAGATGACTTGCATACGGAGCGTTTCAAAGTCGATCGTCAAAAGTTAGAACAAATGCTGAAGGGTGAGTGAACGGAAAACAAGAACGAAAAAACCTGAAGTTAACTAACCTCATTTTGGTTTTTGCTTATAGAAGACAGTATGGTTGAGGGCATGAATGGCGCTGAATATTTCTTCGAGAGTGTAAGCTGAAATTTTAGTTATATGTGTTGGGGTGATTTACTTTCTGAGTCAAAATTTCGTATGCATTTTAGGTTATGAAGTCCACTGAGACTTACATTAGCTGGCCGTGCCGCCTTAAAATTGGCGCCAAAAGCAAAAAGGGTAAAAATCAGTATGAAAATTTTGGAAAAAGCACATATAAATTTGAAAAATATCATCCTAGATCCCCATGTTCGCATTCTTGGACGTGCCGAGGAAGTACAAAAGGCCAAAGAGCGTGTGCTGGCAAATTTGGATTCAAGAGTATGATTTCTGAAATTATTTGCATTTTTATAAAATTAGTTTACCGCTATCGTATTAACACTACTCTATCTTTCTTAGGGCACTCGGGTAATTATGAAAATGGATGTATCCTATACGGATCACTCATATATTATTGGACGTGGCGGCAATAATATAAAGCGTATTATGGAAGATACTGCAACACATATACATTTTCCTGATTCGAATCGTTCGAATCCAACGGAGAAATCAAATCAGGTTTCCCTATGCGGATCGCTTGAGGGTGTTGAGCGTGCACGCGCTTTGGTTCGCCTCTCAACGCCATTGCTAATCTCTTTTGAATTGCCCATCTTAGCTCCGGGTCGCCCACAGCCCGATCATGATACACCTTACGTAAAGATGGTCGAAACAAAGTATAATGTGCAAGTGAGTGATCAATGGCAGGCAAATGGTCTCTGCAAATGGTAAACTCTTAATATGTTATCCTTCAGGTTATCTTTTCGTCTCGTCCTAAACTCCATTCTTCGTTGGTGCTGGTCAAGGGTTCTGAAAAGGAGGCCACTAAAGTACAGGATGCAACACAGTTGTTGATTAATTTCTCTTGCGAAAATATAGCTGTGAGTTCAGATCGTATATTTGACTGTACATAACTTGATTTTTTTTTTTGTTTTTTTTTTTTTTGGTGTTCAAAAATTGTCTTTAATATTGCTGCAGAACCAGATTCTGGTGCAGATGCAGTTGGAGATATCGCCACAGCATCATGAAATTGTTAAGGGCAAAAATAACTCGAATTTGTTAGGAATCATGGAGCGTACGAAGACTAAGGTGAGCATTTGTGGTACACCGGTTGTTGGAAATGCTTGAAAGTCTTCTATTTATAGATTATTTTTCCTGATCTCTCGGACTTGAATGTTAAACCTTTAAAAAAATCTCAAGTGACCATTACTGGAACTATCGCCGGCGTCTATAAAGCACGCCAACAATTACTTGTAAGTATAAAAAAAAAGATCTCTTTTCAACCTCCAACTCACCTTTGACCCACTTTCTATAAAGGGTAACCTGCCAATAGCTTTGATTTTCGATTTTCCGGACAGTCAAAACAATGCCTCTGAAATAATAGGCCTCAGCACAAAATATGGCGTCTACATTTCATTGCGTCAAAAGCAAAGACAAAGCACTTTGGCCATTGTTGTGAAGGGTGTCGAGAAATTTATTGGTAGGCAACATTTTTCTATTAATCTCGTTTTCAAAATGTCTCTCTAATACCGTAATTGTTTTTGTGATAGACAAAATTTACGAAGCGCGTCAAGAGATTTTGCATCTCAGCACGCCACTTTTACAAGCGGCTATTCCAGAGAGCTATTTCGCGCCGAGAGATAATGAGCTAAATATTAGCTACCGCACGATGTTGACTTCACTGCTGGCTGGCTACCCGGATAGCCCTAAGACACCTAGCCTGCTAACGGCGCAACTGCAGATGTCACCGTATGGTATCAATAGCCAACTAAATAACAACAATAATCTATTGGTCAACAACAACAACAGAAACGATAGCAATAACAACAGCAAATCATATCCGCCGGGCTTTGATGTTTGCACACCAACCAACGTCTGTCCACCCACTCAAAAGTACGTGACAATGCACAACAACAGCTTTAATCGCCAGCTGCCGAACCACAGTAATAATTACTTGCAAGTAAACTCGCCGAATGCTCCGCCACAGCGCACTCAGCAGATCAATTTGCATCAACAGCAACAAATATCGCCGCGCAATAGCTGTCACAACACCAGCGGCTACCAGAGCTTCAGCAGTAGTACAAATTCCTTGGAACAAGTTTATCCACCCTATGGTGGAGGCACTAACGGTGGCGGTGGAGGAGGCAGTAATCGATTGGTGGCGCCAAATTATGAGTTGAACTCGCGTGGCCAGTACTCGCCCGACTCAACCTATAGCAGCGAAGCTGGCTGTGGACGTGTGGGTCGGCGCTCAAGTGACGGCGTCTTATTGGGGTTAGGAGCTTCTGGCCCGCTTGGCGGACCGCTTTTGCCAGGCAGTGCCGAGAGTTACCGCAACTTGCATTACGAATTGAAGGTATGTTTATAGTAAATATTATATAATTGTTGCTTCCACATCCGTTCATAATTTCAATTATAGCAAAATCGCGTCTTTGATTTCGATATGAAGCGCGCCATGGGCTTCAAAGCAATGGAGCGCCCACCGATAAGCGGCGAATTGCGTACGCCTACCCCGAATTGGGCTGGCATGGCTTTGAGCCGCACTTCGCCGGGCGTTATAGAGAGTGTCGACGACAATTTATGGCCTCGCAACGTGCACGGCATGAACTTTAACGGCGGCGCTGGTGCAAGCGGTGCACCGATATCTCCTTATGCGCTAGGTGTTACAGTTGGCTTGATGGATGCTACCCCGACAAATCGGCGACTTAAGTTGTCCCAACATAAGGACATACATACGCTATTGACAAGCCTTGGCTTGGAGCACTATATAAGTAAGCTTTTTCTATTCGAAATTTGATTAAGGACAAAGTACAATTGTATTTAAATTTTTTTTTTTTTCACTTTTAGAGACCTTCGTAACCAATGAAATTGATCTTGAAATGTTCACTACCTTAAATGAGGAGAATTTACTGGAATTGGGCATAACCGCTTTCGGTGCGCGCCGAAAGCTGCTCTTGGCGATTAACACTTTGCAAGCCAATGAGGCCACTCAGGCAGCCATGCCCATTATTTCGGCAGCGCAATCGAACAACTCATCGCCACGCTTCTCCGGCTCAGCCGCACCAGGTGCCGAGCGGCGTCCGTCAAATCAATGGTAGAGCAAAGCTCAATTCGAAAAAATTTTTTTTTGTATAACAAAAAGTGAAATAATTCCAAATTATATATAAATTAGAAACGCTCGAAGAGTGCCCAGGTCATACCATTCCATATTTAGAATTAATATATTTATTACAATGCTTCTCTAGAATTAGTTTGCATGCTAATCTGTAATTTGTAAGCTTCTTTACTTTAATCATTCTACACTTGAAATTGCATTGCCGATAACAACCACACCTTTTTAACATTTAAACGTCCAACTAACGACACTGAGCAAATGACGGCATGTGTTAGGCAAATGAATACAAAGTGAATATGCAAAATGGCGCTCGAGTGTAATTGATTCAGTGACTGTTCAATCAAAACTTAACTGCGGGACATTTAAGCGTCCTTTCAAGCGAAGAATGTGGAACAGAAAGGATTCTTCTTGACTTATACTCGTATTTGTAGGCAGAATAAATTGAAAGCTAAGAATCAAGTTGCCCAATCACTCGCCCACGCCCATTTTGCTGGAATATATGCAGCAGCGCTGTTGAGACGTATTAAAAGCGGTCTTATTTTACTTTACAATCATTTTATATTTATTATTTTTCTATTTATTAATTATTTGAATATTTATTGAGTAGTTAGAAAAACACAGAAAAATGTTAAAACCCCAAAAGAAGATGAAACATAAAAAAAAAATGTATTTATATAATTATTATGAAATTTTGCATGCCTAACTTGTGTGTTGTCATAGTATTTAACTAATAATCGAAATTTATACAACCGAAAAAGAAAAAAAAAACCAACATGATATTATATAACAAAGTGAATTAAAAAATTAAAGTTAGTCCAAGTGAAATTGAGTGCGAAATGTTTGCATAAAACTTGGAAAAATTATTGAAAATATATGCAAAAAAAAAATAACAGATAAACTAAAAATACGAAAATTTTCTCAAAGATATTTAAAAAAAATAACCCTACTGAAAGTAAATATGAACATCATAACTTCGTTCAACCAAAATCAAATAAATGAATAATTGCGCCGCATTAGAATCTGTTGTCTTTAATTATTTTACTTAGAATATTAGCTCTATATCGTCACCTAAAATGCAAAATTGCAAATTTCATACGTTTACAAAGGCGAAACAAATACGGTATGAAAAAGAAACCACGCATTAGGTTGGGTAAAAAAACGATTGAAACAAATTTTGGCTTCTTACTCTGAAAAATTGGTTGATAGACACCTTTAAGAAAGTTTCTCCAAATATGAGCTCTTAATTCTTACGGGAAGGTCTTGTTGCTTATCGTCAGATAGTAAAATACATATCTCGCTTCCGACTACTTGAAAACATATTTTGTAGGAAATTGAATGCTCTACAAAATGGTCGCTTACGGTTCTTTCCTAAACTCATCCATTTAAAAGATATTGACGGTGAAAGTTTGACTATTTTAATTCAATTTTGTTTTTTGTTTTTGAAATTGTCATTTACATAAAACTCTCGGGCATCAGCAAGGCTGGTAAGTTATTTTTCTTGGTTGGTAGGATTGTCTATAACATTTGCCAGACGCTTAGGTTTTTGTCAAAAGAAGTGACACGTGTTTTTGTAAACAACCAAAAGTGAATTTTTCGATTTTTACATTGGTTGATTTTGTTTTCCAAAAACTCGACTCATACCGTTTCGCAACCGCACCGTTATGTGAGTTCTGGCTACTCAGCTCAATTCAAAATGTCAATGCGGGGATGCCGTTTTGAAACGATTGGGGAGATAAAAACCGAACCGAAGAAAGCCTTTAAGGCTATACTGAAAAAAGAATATTCCGACTGTTTAGAGAACTGGAAAAAGCATCTTACTTTTTGGTCACAGTAGTATATGTTTTGATGTCGTGTAATCATTAAAAAAAACTCAGTTTCGAATATTTTGATGTTACGTTGTTACGCATTTTAAGCAATAAATGCAACTCCGCCAAATAATGCTTTTCAATTCAATTTTAGGCACTTGTAGTACTTGTACAAGTATTAAAAACAATTTACAGCCCGTAACGAAGAAATAACGGCACAACAGCGTAATGTGTAATTCTTTATTCACATATTTATTTTGTTACTTAGTTTTTAGTTTATTTAAACCTAAACAAACATAAGACTGTTCGTTAACATTTATTATAATGTTTTTGCTATTATTGTAATAAACTTAAAAATTTATATTATGACTTACAGTGTAGTAATGACTGTATATATATGTGCTACGTACATACATACATAATAACTACGGTATAAATTAGCCAATACATTACACTTTACATAGCCTTGATCGCACATACACATATGTATGCATATGTATATGTATGTACATACAATTCTCCTTTGCTTGCACATGTTTATCCATGTACTGTTTTATAGGATATGATTAACTTATGCACTCTTGTATATGTATATGTATATATATATATATATATTTATATGCGTGCATGGGTCTATCTTAATAGCTTACCATGATTTTTATTATATTATATATTTATAGTCTCTTTTAGTTTTAGCATTACTCAATAATATATCTTATGTGTTGCACAATTTTCATTTTTTATTGTTCATGTACTTCTTTTAGTATTATACCGATATTTTTTATACAATTTTTGGTTTTTTTTTTTTTTAATGGTAGCACACAACATGGCGTTCATGAGTATGCCAATATTCTTCTTTTATGACAGGTGACATAATGCTATAACTTAAAATTTAATTTAAACATAAGCTTAAAAGGTTATATCTACTTGCGAGTTTCAAGAAAATTTTGTTTTGCATATATATATCGAATGTAAAAGTATTTGAAGTAGTACTGGCAAATAGTTTCGGAGATATGAGCGTATTTGTTAGAATTTTATAAATAAGTTTAATTGTGATATCAAAAAAATCGTTTTTTTTCCTGCATATTCAAAAAGATACATGTTTCAAGAATAAGCTCTCAAAATTTCGTGTTGAAATCTGTTAAATTACGAAAATGAAAATTGTTCATTTAAAAAATAATTAGTAACAAAAAAAAATTAGCAAAAATCGATTTTTTTCGAAAGCTCATAGTTTTCGGAGTTGGCGAAGCAAATGTTTCCAAAATGGTTGAACCGATCGACTTCTAAGATATGGTATATTTGTCAGTTAATTTTCGAAGATTTTTTAGACTTCTGGAGGGTAAATTTTTTCACAAAAATCGATTTATTTCGTTGTTAACCGGCACTTTGACGAAAATCAAAATTTTGACTACTCCTTCAATCAGTGTCTGTATTCATCTATGGTAATAATAATTTTTTTTGGTTTTCGAATTTGAGATGATTTTAAGCCAAAGGATCTGCCTCACCGGTAAACATCTTATTTGAGGAAGTCCTCCATGGGAATACAAGATTTTTCAATATAAAATTTCGGTTATTAAAGTACATTAAAAGGTTACAGGTTTCACGAGCCAAAAACAGCCTGTTTTCAATAATTTTTTTTCATATGAGAAATGAAATATTTTATGCAAAGATTTTCTTATTTACATTACAATTATTTTTATTACAAAAATTTTTAAGAATTTTCAAAAGAAAATATTAAAAACTCGGCCATTACGACGTCATTTTAGGCAGGGCCCCGGCAATAAGGTGCTTCCGTGTTGAAAGCACAACTTTTTACAGGGTCATCAAAAGTAAAACGAAAAAATTCGTGTTTTAATTAAGTCCATAAACTAGCTATTGGACAAAGGAATAAAAATAAATAAATAATAAAAAAAATTTTTATTTTGGTGAAATTTTCTCGTTATTTTTTTTTTGTTTGTTTTAAATAGTTGGAATTAAAAAAAAAATCGTTCGTTGAAGACCTTTTATATCTTCAAGACCTGTCTAAAATTTTATTAAAATCGGTTGAGTATTTCGCAAGAAATCTTAACAGCCGACTTTGAAAACACAATTTTGCGGAAAAATGCTTTAATGTTTTAAGTGACTATATACATACTTGTATATAGCTGACCTCGAGCGCGCAACTTTTGAAGGCTGTATCTCCAAAACTATTACTCGAATCAACTTGTAAATTTTTAAGATAATATTCTAGGGATGTTCTAGCAGTAAATACGACAATATAGAAAATATATTTTTTGGAGCCGTGAAACCCATGTAACCCCTTAATGTTCTGTAAATTTACATTGTTTTTATTTATGAATTAACTATGATGTCTCTTCAAAAAAAAGACCAAAAAAAAATCAAAAAACGCGTTTGCAAGTGGATATAACCCCTTTAGAAAGCTACACATTTAAAATTTTACAAGCTCAGCCATTTTTAATTATACCTATACTCATAAATACAATTCCGACTCAATGATGCCCTGCTACAATGAAAAACATCTACTTAGCATTTCAAGAGGTAAGAAACTTGAAACATTTGCCTGTAAGAAAGTGTTTCTCACAAGGTTTTTGAAAAAAGTCAGGCAGTAATTTTTTCAAGAAGTAAATACCTATTTAAACAAAAAAATAATTGGCATAAGCAAAATTACATACTCCATTTGTAAAGTACGAGAGCCTTTCATCAATAATAATCTATAAAATATTGGGAAGCATATACCATCTTCAACAAAGTATGCTCTCTCCACAACATGAAACACCTTTGTGGTTTTCATCATGAAGTTTTGGTACACTTAATATTCAAATTTTGATTTGTTGACTGGCTTTAAGTTTTTATGTTTATTTATGCAGCAGTTTTATTTAATTATTTTTTAGTTTTTATATTTATTTATATTTTCTTTTAAATATTTATTTATTTTTTTTAAATATTTATTTATATTTCCTTTTAAATATTTATTTATATTTTTTTAAATATTTATTTATATTTTTTTTGTATTTTTTTAAAAATATTTTCTTTAATATTTTTTTAAAATTTATTTTAATTTACATATATGCTTATGTGTGTATGTATTAATTTATGTACTCCAATTGAAGGAACTATCTACCGTTGGATCTTGTAATTTCAAAAGAAGTGTCGAGAATTACGGTTAATTTTTAATCCAGGCCAAAAGTGGGTTCAAATGAAAAGAATCATCTAACGAAAAAACTACAAAAACCACAACACTGTCAATTTTGTTCAGTGACTGAGGTGTGAAGTTCCTTGAATTAAGTTGCTACTGCTTACTACTAGTTAGTTACACATATACAAATGAGCATATTTTATACCTAAGCTAAACTAAATTTATCAATCTAACGACAACCACCATTTTCTGATTAGCATCGCAATACAACAGTGGCACCTACAACTCTTTGAGTATTTTGGTTTATATTATAATTTTCACAACTTCAGTGATTTCACTTTGCATATTTACAATTTCAGCTTCTTGCCCATTATCAACTATTCATAGAATATTCTAAAATTTACTTAATAACTTTTTATACACAATTTGTTTATTTATGTTACTAAAAGCGAAATGCAAACAAAGAGAATCTTGCTTGTGCACATTTGGATATTTGCTTTACATACTAAGTAACTAGGTTTTTTAAATATGCTTTCTACAATACTTATTTGGTAAAATTAATGTTTGACTACTTTCACTATGTAGAACAAATTAAAAAAATAAATATAAAATAATAATAATACTAAAATAATAAAAAGATTATTATTTATTGCAATAAAACTACATAAAATTTTACGAAATATTTGCATTTTCATTTTCTATGGTGCACTCTGTACTGCGTTTTTAGCACAGATAACATCCGGTAAGTGTGAAACTTGGCTAAAAGGGTTGTGTCTTCGATACAGTAGTAGATTTTTTAAACTTCAGCTGCATTTCGTTGTGGCGGGAGTAAAATTTTGTAGCATACTTTTGGGCGATGGAAGACAAAAGTGCATATCCGCCTGCAGCTAGGAGGCAACCTGCTGCTGTTTCATGGGCGCCTGGTGCATTTGCCAAATTTTACCAATTTGCTGCACGCATATGCGGCGCACCGTATTTGTTTATCGGCATTTGGCTTTCTCCACCAGGCGAGCATGGTAAACAGCGGATGGTTTACAGAAAATGTTGCAGAATATTTTTCACTCATTGCGGCTGTTGTTTGACAGCTGCGTGAAATTTTGATGTTAAAAATAAAATAATTTAAATAATAAATAACAAAGAACACAGTTGCCGAATTTATTTAAATGTTCATATATTAAAAATGAATTTGCAATAAAAATACTTACAATTTACAAGCAATTAAAAATATATATATGTAATATGGTAAATTGTAATAACATAAATGTGTAGAAGCTATTTTTGAAATAATATTTCGTTTAAACAAAACACATTCAACTTAAAATACTTAAATACAAAGTAACCCAAATTAAGTAATTTGTTTGTTTTATGACCGCACAGTCGTTTTTTGTCGAATTTGTTGTCATTTAACATACTTAGCGTCTAATATATTATACTATTAAGTGTATTGAATACAACATTTACAACAGTTTTTTCTAGTTTTCTAAGCGCCAACAACGCAATAGCACAGCCGCTTTCATTTTCTACTTTCTTGAAAGTAAGCAAAGTTCGGCAATTTGGCAATTAGCAGAATTGTTTCATATTGAAAAAACTTTAATGAACAAATGGTAGCTGAGCTTAGATTTAAGTGATGACATTTTATAAAACAAACTGTGCTATTGCATTGACTGGCTGCTGCACACTCTTATCTTTATGTTCAACATAATTTCATGCTTTTCGCATGTTATCTTCTGATAATTTGTCTTTTGTTTTTGGTATACATTTCATACGTTTTCTTAATTTATTACTAAATGCAGATCTATTTTTGGCATTACCCTTAGTCAATACAATAATTTCACATTTTCACAACTTGGTTCAAAACTCTTTCGCGCACCTAACATAGTTTCCTTATTTACACATATTTACTTTTGCTTTTACTTTTACTGCTTCTGGAATTTAAAAAGCAACATCAACATTTCCTTAACGCTAGACATCTCTAAACTAATTTATCATATTGTTTGGCATTGGCGCCTTTGCTTCTGAGATAACATGGCGCTTCCGGGAGTATTATTAATTCATATTTGGTATATTTATTGGTATTAAGCTATTCATGGTATGTAATTATAATTTCTGTTTAAGCTATGCGGTGCACACAATTGCCTTGGGCCGGCGGGCATCAGCAGTGGCTCCAGCAAGGACGAGGTGCTACGCAGCTTGCTTGCCAATTAGCCAGCAACGCCTTGACTTTCGACAGCACCTTGCCGCTTTTTATTGCATACAGCAGCAGTGGCAGTCGCTGTTGTTCTTGTTGTTGTTGCTGTTGCTGCTCCTGCCTCTTACTGAGCGAGCTGTGTGCGAGTGTAACAAAATCGTCAACATGTTGACAATCGAAACGTTGTGCAATCATCATCAATAATGTTTGATCCTTTGACGTGTCCTTAGTGAAATTGGCAATTGCTTGATTGCCGCTGCCGTCGCCCCTGCTGCCACGGTTGTAAGCGTCGTTGTTGGTGTTGATGTTGTTGCAGACGGCAATTGCAGCATGCATGGCAGCGCTAACACCCGGAGTGTCAAATGTCAATGCAGCCACAGTTGCTGGTAATGGAGTTGATGGGCTCCTACCGGCAACTGTCAACGACAGCTGTTGAGTTGTGTTGCTCTGTGTGCGCGCTTGGTTGCGCAATATTGACGCGCTTTTCTGCTGCTGTTGCTGCTGTTGTTGATTTGCCAATTTTTGTAATGGATTCGCCGCTACTTTCGCCCACTGCATAAACATCAGGCACAGCGCCCGCGGAAATCCCGCCAATCGTACACTCAATGATTTCAAATTTTTTCCAACGCAATTATGAAAGGATTTTCGTCCTTTCAATGTCCGTTTGACTGCCAAGATGGAAGCTGCCCCATCATTTACAACACGTCTTGCTGTTGTTGTTGCCGTTATTATTACCTTTGATTGCAACGCCGTGGCAGTGAAATCTGCCACTGGTGCCGCTACAGTCGAGACGGTAGTTCGTGGTGTCGTCACTACTCTGGATTTCCTTTGGCTCCTTTGACAGCTTATAAAATGGCGTGTCAGTGCGCATAGAAAGACGCTCGTGCAAATGGCAATAAAAATATAAGCAACATACGCGGTGTCGGTGGAAATTTTCAACCGCGCGAAGTTCTTCACTGCCGCCGCTGGTGCACTTTCTTTCTCATCATCGCTTGCTTCACTTATCCTTTTGACATATCGGTGCTCCAGCTTCAGCTCCAGCTCCACTGCCGATTCGCTCCGCTGACTGTTGGTTGCCCGAATTGTTGCCGCTGCCGCCATCAGATCGGTCCAAAGTCGCTTCAAATGCATTTTTAGTGCTTTCACATAGACGCTTGCTGCCGTGCCATGTACGGTTGTTGCCGAAGACGTGATGTCGGCAGCTAGAAAGGGAGACAGACAGACATAGAATTCAACAATGAGAAATTGACTAAAAGCGTTTTTGCGAAGCTAGAAAAATGGAGCATTAGTGTCAATCAATTGGAATCTAGAATGTAATTTATTGTATGTTTTCTAATCAAATGGAAAGTTCTGCAGCTTTTTACAATTTTCGTTTTTTTTTTTCGAAAAATAAAGTGCTACCAAAGTCGCCGCGTGAGCTAGTTGTGTGAGTGGCTTCTCAGTGTGCGTTCTATTAATCGAACATGATGCTTCACGTGCAGTAGTCAAAAATGACATACACCAGATCATATTTTCATGGAGCTGAGCTGAGGCAGAGGCTTTCATGGAGGTGATTTACGATCCATAATTTTTAAAAATAATTAATTATATAAAATAAAATAAAATTTGCTATACAATAAAATAAAAATGTAATGCATTGATTAAAAAAAAGTATTACGGTTTCTTTTTTTAGTACGATTCGTGTGCCACCCTGTATTTACAATATATATACAGATACTCAAGCGGCTTTGAAATCACTAAAGGCTCTTAGGAGTTCATTAGAGATAGTGAAATAATGCCTTGATCTCTTGATCTAACATTTTATTTCATCATAAATCTGCAACGGGTTCCAGGATAGAGTGATATTCCTAATAACTGTGAAGTAGATGAACTAGACGGAGCAGGTACCATCTTACAATTAGATTCCGAAAAAGAGGGAATTTATATGCCACTGGTTACTTTTAGACATTTAATCGACAAGCATGTTATAAATATATGGTATGTAGCTGAGTCTTGGTGGAGTTTATCTCTAACCTGCTCAACAAGCAGAAAATGTGGCATGAATGGAATGTGGGCCGCACATGTCGACTATTAAAATTCAAAAGGAATGATATAAGTCTAATTGGTAGACATGCCAGCAGACTGGCAACACCATGCAATGACTATTGTAGAAGCTGTCAGTAGGTACAAGAAGAAGAGACTATAGAAGATCTTCTATGCGAATGCAAGGCTTTGTATAGAAAAATAAGCGAAACTATCGGTCAAGGGTTTCTGGATGATATTAACGAGGTTGCACAGATAAAACTTTGTGTATTAATGAATTTCATCAAGAGCACAGGATGGTTTAGAGAGGGCATAATAGAGTGAGGGAATTTTAGTACCGGTGGTTTCACAAGGAGCCACCGAAAGGCCCGGTGTCGTCGTCAGCCATACCTACTTCATTTATCATTTATTTGGATCGAGGAGTGCATTTAAAAAATACATATGAAGTTCTGGTTTTTAAATAGACAAACGAACTGCCTAAAACAACGGACCAATGACATCAAAAATGCATAATAATATGCCTCAGTGACGCTGTTTTCCATATTTACTTTTGACAAGTTGGAGCATTTTTTATGGAGATTTGTGAGATCAAATATCGCGCATGTGAATAAGTACAAGCTCTATTAGCTGAATTTGATCAAAAATGAAAATACTCAATACTAACGGAGTTCAAGGCAGCCGGCAGGGCTGTAAGAGTGCTAAGGGAGTTGGGGGTGGCGATGCATTTGCACTTTGTTGACACTTCGGTATATGTTAACATTGCATTTGCATGCATTATGAAGTGTAAGTACCGCTTCGGCGTGGATCGAGCTGCCGTCAGCTGTCAGTATTCGTGTGTAACGGTATTGTATGCGGCAGCAAGGAGCGCCTTCCGTATGGCAACGGCGCTTTTATGCGCCTGCTCGCTTTGTGGCAAAATTGACTGCACATCGAGTCGTTAGCGTTGTTTGCGACTGATTGGCTTACTTGCTGCTGCGGCACATATGCTAGTGTGTGTATGCGCTATAAATAGCTATGCATATTTTAATGCGCCTTAACAGCGTATTATGTTGATCATAAGCAGCTGAAGCCAAGGCAGCCGATGGAGCAGCACTTGTAAAAACAAACTGCCGTTTGCCTTCAATGACAGCGCCTTAACTCAATTTAAGTTTAACTATGCATGCACACATCGACACACACATACACATACAGACACATGAGCAAGTGACTGCATAGATGTACAAACCCCATCGCCTTCATTGTGTACGGTATTTTCTTTGAGTTTTTTCTTTTTGCGATTTTCCTTTTAGGCATGTTTGCATGAATTCGTGTATGTCAATGTTGCCCCAAGTAAGTGGCAACACTTTAGTGAAATTTCTTTTTTATTTACACCTAGAGGGCATGTGTGTTCTTTCATCCGCTACTCCGCTCGCACTGGCGCCACCAGCTGCTGCTACCTTATCATATTTTCACAAATATTGAGCAACAACGTAGTCGTTCAATGTATTGCATAGTTTTGGGCGGATCACGTTATTGCTTGCTGTATTTATACACACACACACAACTGCGCATGTATGTATATGTGTAGATATGTATGTGGATGCGCTTTACGAATACAACTAAGTTTTGAGAAATTTTGTTTGCATTTCGTAGCGCACATATGTATGTATGTTTGTGTGTATGTGTGTTGATATAACACGAGGAAGGCAGGCTGGCAAGGATCTATGTATTACATAGTATGGGTGAAGAGCGGACGGCAGGGAATGCAGCAATGGAAAATATGGTGTTAAACGTTTTAGAAAAAAGAAGGTGGCGCAGCGGTGAATTGACATACACACACATGTGTACATACATTAATGAATATAAACATTAAATATTGCTGAAAAGTTGTTTGCAGTTCAAGTTGATTTGCTTTCGATTAAATATGTGTTCGAACGGGTGGCAAGCAAAGCCAGTCGATTTGCCCATTAAACGAAGCGAGAAATTTGAAGTTTATTGCAATTTGCATTAAATAAACAGCTTCGAGGGCACACAATCGACGTATATGTATGTATGTAAGCATGTGTCGACAAACATGACGCTTATCCGATGATTAGGAAATACACAACTCAGCGACTTTCCGGGTATTTAAAAGTAGAAAAATTAAAAAAAACAACAAGAAAAAATGTTAATCCTTCACAGGTGCATTCCTTATAGCAGAAAAGGGTATAAAAGGCTCTTTATTTGGATTTCGAACGGTCAGCTTGAATGGCAGCTGTATGATATAGTTTTCCGCTACGAACAATATCTTCGGAGATTGTAATGTAGCCTTGGCTAATAGTTTATGCCAAATTTCGTGCTAAATAATAAAGTTTTCCATACAACATAATAATATAAATTAATATTGAAGTTAAGCAAACTAATTAATTAGTATTGCCAGTATCCACTTTAGCAAACAGTTGCAAACAATACTGTTATTCAACCCATTTAAATGCTTTAAATTGCTACAACGTTTCAAAAAACCCGCGAACTATAATAAATCTTCCTTTCGTAATTGGTGTATATTTCCACGGATGTTAACATACAGTTATTATATTAAAACCTTGTATTTCGTATTAACACAACATACGTTGCAACTCACCTGAATATGTTAAAAATGATTCGTTATGATCCTCGAAGCCATCACCGCTCGCATGCTGTTCGTACGGATAATTATTATGCATGTCGTATGAACGGCCGGAGGCCATAATGCGTGGTCGATCCTCTTCGATGACACTTTCGATTTCCTCCTTGAATATATCAAATATGCTGGCCGTACACTTGAGCTGTTGGGGCGAAATCAACACGAGTATCATGAATTCATTTATATTATATTTCTTCAAACAATATTAAATTAATATTTATTGTGAAGCGTTGCAAATTACCCTCATTTGTCCTTTAATGAAATGCTGTGTGGTCACCATGAAATGCAGCGCGCTCACCACCGACTCCAAATTGTTCTCTTCATAGCGTTCAATTTGATAAGTTTTTATGTGATGCAGCGGCACCTGGAATGGAAATGTATTGAGCATTTAAAAAACAAAAAACAAAAAACGTAGTAATATTAAAAAAAAAAAAGTGTAAAATTTAAAACATTACATATATGTTTTTAACGTTCAAGAGTTCAACATTTTCGAAAAAAGCTTGCAAATTGCTATTTGCATCTTTTCAGATGAGCCGTGCAACCCATTATTTGGTGCACTGAGGTTACTTCTTTGCATACAATTTAATTTGTTTTTTTATGAAAATAACACAGCTACTAATGATAACAGCACGAGAAATCTTTCAATGCCTATCACACGTAACGGTATTGTGTAAAATGAAGAGATGAAAAATATGTAAAAAGTAAGATATACAATGAAAATATGTGCTTAAGGAGGAATATATGTATTATTTCAAAAAAAAAAAAAAAAAAAAAAAAACAAGGAATATGCATCAACTTCACGGCTGGCTGATTAGATGGAACAGGCATTCTTCATATTTGTAGATTATTTTGTGGTGCAGCAATGCAGCGCAATATTTTAATGTTTTCCTCAATATTCATAGAATTATATTTTCTACCAGATTGCCTCCTATGTGGATTTCATATTATTTATGGTTATTATTTTTCTATGTCGCTGCTATGGCAGGTGTTGTTGAGATAATTCAAAGGAATTTGAATTGCTTGTAAAGCGTGGTTGTTGTAATACATTTGTGTGCATATAAAAAAGGAAAATAATAAAAAACAAATATAAGAAAATGATGATAATCGTAAAAAGAAGAACTGTTGGTATAAATTCAATTGTGTGTCTTGATAAATCGTTATTTCTTTAACAAATGACACAATCAAGTTGAGCACTAATCGGCTTACAATATAAATATATCTACATATACTGTTTATGGAGCAAATGAATGGAATACGTTTTATTTGAAAATTATTCGCGTTAAAAACTATTTTTATAATATTCTATCATTTATTTTGACTTAATCATTCTAACTAAAAACAAGAAAAAACGTTAACTTCGGTTGCACCGAACCTATAAAATCCGTCACAAATAAAAAAGTTTTTCAAACAAAAACTTGATTTTGATCATTCAGTTTGTAAGACAGCTTCATGCTATAGTGGTCCGATATCGGCGGTTCGGGCAAATAAGCAGCTTTTTAGGAAGAAAAGAACGTGTAAAAAATTTCTGATCGATAACTCAAAGACTGAGGGACCAGTTCGAGAAGATATACTTGTAGATAGACGAACATGGCTAAATCAACTCAGCTCATCACACTGATCTTTCATATGTGTATGTATATAATGTATAGAATAAGTATTGTTTCCTTTTGGGTGCAACAAACTTCGTGGCAAACTTAATATAACCTATCCAGAGTATAAAATTGGAGCAGTGTGTTAAATATTCAGTAATTCTGTAGTGAAAACTATTTACGGGCAAACTCATTTTTAAAATGGCTTCCTCACCTATGTCAAGCGTTTGTTTGGTTAAACATAGCAATTATGCCATTGTGAATTTCATTTAGAATGCAAAGTAGCTTTATTTGAGTTTTAAATTTTAATTAAGAACTTTTTATGCGCCAAACATTGCGCCAGTTCCGCAGTTTCATCGTTCTAAATAGGCAACTCTCATATATTATAGTGTGAAACGGTTCATTACGGTTAAACTACGGTTACTGGCACGTATGTATGCGTATGTCCGACAAAGTACAGAAGCCACATAACATATGTCAACAATATAAAAACCGCAATCCCAAATCTCATTCCAGGAAATATATGCAACTTGTACACCAACAAAAACAAAAACAATACACATTCAATCATGAGCTAGTAATAACATATGGTATTCTAACATTCGTATGCGTGTTTTAACACTTCGTGCTTAATAGCTCAACAAAATATACGAATTGCAAACAATTCACTAATTTAAGTAGCAATTTCCTTTTGCGGCGACACAAAATGTGCTACAACGCCCACACTAACCAATTTACGACGCCACTGCCATGCTAGGCTAAAATTTTTGGTGCTCGTCGGAGAGGTCGGTTGCGGTTGTTTGTTTCGTTCCACTGACAGATGAAAACCACAATGTCATCTCGCCGGTGAATTATAACTATGGTTGCGCTGCCGACGTCACAGGCCATTCTATGGCAGTATAGAATGCATGTAGGGTATATATGCCATTGCTACCACACTTAGATGGCCTGTGACCACCTAAATTTATATATACGAGTATGTAACTACACTGGCAGGTGGCTCAAGAATATTGCTAAAATATTTTGCAGAAATCTGTAAGCTATTTTGTGGTTGTATTTTTAAAGTCTCTTCTGGTTTTCCTTCTTGTTTTCAAATGGTATTTTATTGAGTTCTTAAGTAAAGCTTATATTGGCGCATAAGTATTCAATTCCGTTTGCTACAATAACTTATGAAGGAATAAATAAATTCAACATTTGCTCGCCAATTATTTACGAGCTGTCAGAATGTGGATATGCGACAACAATATATGTGCTCTTGCGGTTGATTGCTTTTTGGCTCCGAAAAGAATGCAATGAAAATTCTTCCGTCCTCCAGGAAAACAAACAAACGATGAAAATTGCGACTCAACAGCACACAGCCTGATAGATCTCATGACGAGTTATACGTATAGTCGCAGTCCGTTTGTGCTGCGAGCGTTCTGTAAGCGTCAGACAGCAGCGTAACTTCAGCAAAACAAAAACATAAATAATAGTTGAAAAATTCCATAAAGTGTGACAATTTTGGTAACCGCAGAATTTCGGTTTACAGTAACAAAAACAACAGTATGCCGAGAATGGGCACCTCCGTAGGGCAATTGCGCCACCACAAAGTGCACTCGACACGCACCCAACTGCCACAGAACAGCAAAACAACGTCAAAAAGCTGCATGAAAAATTGCTTTAAGCTAGCTCAACACTCAAATTTACATACACAAGCAAGCGTACTCGTATAAACATAACAACTACAGCGCCGGCCTGCAGACTTGCGGCGGCAAGCTGAGCGGAGGGACTGAAGACCGCAACGGCAGAGCGAGCGTCGCGTTAGCGCCATAGCACAACCGACATGCTTACAGAGACATCAGCTATGAATGCGGAATATTTTAGTTTTTCGCACCTCAATAGCCGCAATAGCTCTGGCGCAGTGGTAATGGTGTGTGTGTCAGGCAGAATGGCGAATGCCAAAGGGCGGAAAACGCTAGAGGAGCCGCTTGCAGGTTTTAAAGCTTGCCACAAGACGAAAAGCTCACACTGTATTACCATTGTTCAGCTTCAAGTTTGTATGCAGGTATATATATTTGTAGTAGTATGCTTTTATATATAATATAAGCGAGCGATTATTTTAAAACGGCAATACCTCCGAATTATTTCCTGTTGTGTCAACTTTGACAACCCCAAACGATGAGCAGTTGCGACCTTTTATTGTTTTTGTAGGCGCGAACAATAATCCAAATACATAAATGTCAAAGCGATCAACACCTAAAAGTCAAAAGCACATATCAATTACATGTAGGGCGGAGATGGGTAGACTGGTGAGAGCACAACCAAGCATACCTTGAGGCGCATCAAATCAAATTTGTCATTTGGCGCCGCCACAGAGACTTGGCAATTGAGTGATCGGTGTGATTTTGTTTATGTTTTTGTGAAGGCATGTCGAGCGCAATTTCATGTGATTGCAATGCAGATAACAATGATGTTTATTCCGATGTTGCGCTGTTGCTGCCGATGACTAAAAGTCTGTTTATGATTTTTATGTGACAATTTTTGCAACTCTGCAACTGTAAATATTTTTTCAACATACTTGCTTTCCACCTATTTGTGTGTGTGTGTGTGTATATATATTGATATGAATGTATGCGCTATTCTTGGCATTATTGCTGTTGTTATTGCCAGTTGACAGTTGTTGATGACATGTATGTGGCAAATATTTGAACGCGTTCTAGTGCCAACAAAGCGAGTGCTGGGAATATTTCAAAAACAAAGAATCGCATTATAAACATGGCCTATTTTCTGAATTTGTATTTGCTCTATCGAAAGCGTGTTATTGTGCGCGCGTCCATAAGGCCATGCATGCAGAGTTATTTGTATTTATATATGTGTGCGTGTATGAGTGAGGGACAATTACCAATTGTTTTGTGACTTTATTGCTTGATTTTTCCCATTCATTTTTTATCATATATTGCGCTCCAGCAACGTTCATTACACAATATTACGAACGGTGAGTGCGTGATGTGTCAACAATCAGTGTCAACGGCAACTGCCAACAGTCAAAAGTTTTCATCAACGTCAACAATCAACTGAAAGCGATAAAAAATTTCAACACTTTTCCTTTTGTTCCTTTTTCAACTTTTTAAAAAAATCAAAATGAAAAACGGATCAACAACGACAACTACAATACGAGTTGTATGTAAATACTTGTACATATTGATAAAATAAATGAAAGAAAAGTCTCTAAAGGCCCGCTCAGGCACAATGAAAAAATGCTCATATCCGTTGCAAGTTGTTTGATATGCAAAAGTGAAGAGTGAGTGACAGCAAAGTGCTCGCAGGTGTTGTGCCTCTGAAAAGCATTATCATCAAATACTCGTAAAAGCGGAACAAAGTGTGAAAAACGCTTGAAGCCGACTAAAAGGAATTTTATAACTAAAAGTCGTTATTCGAAGGAATTGTGAGATATATGAGCGCATTAATTAAAAAACAAACGGGAACTAGTTGAAACAACAATATTCTAAATATTTTAACTACACAAAGTCGGGTATTTAAACTAAAGATTTCACTTACATACACATATAATGGTGATTTAAGAGTACGTATCTGAATAAAAACCCACATTTTTTAATACCTAAAGAAAACTTTTTCCAACAATTGACTAAGACTTAAGTAATAAAAAATTACTTTTTCCAAAAAGGGACACTTAAGTTTTCACGGCTTAATATTAAACTCAGCCATCTTCTTGTTTGCAGCTAAACAAAGCAACGAAAATATAAATAGAATGAGTTTTAAATAACTACAAAGAAATAACAAAAAGTTTCTACACATACACGCATAACGAAAAATTCCATGCAATGCGCCTTCAGAGTGATGCGAGTATTTTTGGCTGCATACTCGTGCATACAAAATTCGGACGAAATCGAGGTACGCGTATGCCGCAGACTTATGAAGTAATCTAAGAACGCAAGAAAAAGTGTGCACAAAAAACATGAATATTCAACGTCCACCACCATCGATAGCACACTTCTCTTTCCAGCTCAAGCTTAAACGCCGGTAATAAATGAAATTGTTCGTTCTGTGGGCATCTGCTCGTCTGTTTTTCTGAGCACATAAGCACCTGCCCTTCAACACCCTTATAGGCTTGCCAGTGTGTAGCGCCTCACATGCAGGTGTTTGCATACATCTACACTTGTGCGGCTAGTGTGGTTTTGCCGCAATTTTTTTGCTCCGTTTCGACCAACCAAATTGTGCACAGCTTTTATTTTCCGTGCTTTTTTCACCTTCAACATGCCAACAAAACATTTAGTGCGATTTTTCATTTTGACGTTGCGGTGCTTAGTCATATTTTCGGATTTTCCCACGCGTGTACTTTTTTGCGCCTATGCTTTGATGAAGGTGGGGTGCGCAGGCTGTGTTTTTGTTTACGACTTTTTCTTTAGAGATTTTAGTTCAGGAAAATGCGCAGCGACTATGTGGCGTGTGAAACAATCGCTTAGAACGAGAAACCTAACATTTTTGCTTGCGTATTTTGTTGGGTCAGTGTCTAATGGCAATGATTTGGTTATTGTTGGCCTCAGACAATGCATTTGAGATTTTTCTTTTGTGAAAATATATATTCGCTTTTGCATTTATCCAACAATGATATGCTTTTTCAAACGGTGCATATATAAATGGGTATATATGTATATACCTATATATATTTTTTAACACAAAACTTAACTGTATAGAGATCTAAGTTCAGTGTGTTCTATTGGTTATAAGAATTACTGGGAAATATTTTGACACACGATTGACTTTGCCAAATGTTATAGGGATTTAATAGTGAAGCTCAATATATTTTTTTCGATTGACTTTTAGTGCTTGGTTTCAACTTAAAAAATCAGTGTAATGCCGAAGGAAAGAGCTGTAAATCACGTAATGGGGTGAAAAAGGAGGAATATTTTACACCCAAACCTGTTTCTAAGCCACGTATTTACAAAGAAGTGGGAATTTGTGAGTAAACTTAAGTCATTTGCTACCAGCTCTTTAATATTTTCTTGGTATCTGAAGAAACTTTTGATAAACGTATATATAATTTTGTGTGCTACAGTTCTGCTATTTCATTATACTAAAAATTATTCGCATGCACCGCAACTTCTACAGGTTTTGCATAATAATGGGGAAGTCATATACAAAACCTACATTATCAGGAGTTCATCTCAAGTAATCTAAACTCGCTAACTAATGCTTTGATTGTGGAGATATCAGACAGATTAATACAACAATGTATATCTAAATTCTTTCTCTTGGGAGAGTTTTTTGTAAGGAGCTCTCCGATTTAGGCTACCGGACTACTGTGGTGTTTTTCAGGCAGAAATGCCTGCTATTAAAATTACGGTAGACGTACTGCTACGAAGTGCAGCCTCGTTTAGAGAAGAAAACATTCACTCCGACAGCAGAGCGACAATACAAGCGCTGAGCTCTAGCTAGTCAAGTGTCTGTCCTCACTAAAAATAGCATAAAGCTACTTCATCATCAGACTCGTTTGGGTGCCTGGTCATAGCGGAATCGCTGGCTACCGCAAAGCCGAAGAGCTAGCCAGAGGGGCCTCCCAATCGAGTTGGATCTCCAATAGCATCTTGCGTTCTAGCACTGAATCAGTGGATCTCTCGTGCACTTAGCAGACGTTGTTCGGCGTTAAGCTCCTGTGCGACTGCGAGACGCTGTAGGCCCAGCAGAACGCAGAAGATCTACTGCACCACCTTCCCGTAGCAAGTCCATCTTGGCGCAATCGTAGGGGTTCTTTCTGGTCTTATTGTTCAATAGAAAAAAACTTGACAGACGCAAGTTATCGAAGTTGTTTGGAGGAGGGTGAGGTGGAATCATCCATTGTCCAGGCTTTGCAATATTGTATTGGAACATTTCGGTAGTCTTATCATCGGCGAAACAGGAGATATAGCAGAAACAGATATTAGCCGTCTCAACAAATTTGTGATAGCCTTAAAGTGCTTTGTCGATTTGTAAGGGCCTTATGATCGATTATGTAGGTGTTTCATGTAACACAAAGGACCAGCGCTCTAAGCTGTTTAAGTAAGGTACCTATTAGGATCGACGTCATAACCTAATCTAACCTAACTCCTTTCTCATATTATTTTTTTCAGTTGCATTCTCGAATAATAAGCGCTAATGAGTAAGTCTAATTGGCTATGAACTCCATATCGATAGGAATTGGCGAACTGAATACTTTACTGGAGTTTTTGGTTTTACATTTCGTTAGGATTTTATTTTTGGCAAACTCTATGCGAGAAAAGCCATCAATTTTTAAATTACCACCCCTTTGCTGTTTGCTATGCATGCTCCGACCATGTTCACTGGAAGCGAATGAAACCACTTTGCACTAATGCATAGCAATTGAAAATTGAATACGCAAGCAACCGAGAGTAGAAATAAAGAAAAATTCAAGCCAAAAGGAAAACATAAAAAATTAAGAGCCCATGACGACCAGTAAAGAATTTAAAGCAATATAAGTGGGCATTGTTAGAGCACCATAATAAGCCCCGCAACTTACCACAATACCATTAATAGTCCATGTCAAATTAGCAGCCGGCTTCGAGTACTTAATTGAGCAATTGCCATCAACCAAATCGCCGATACGATAACGTGGCTGGATGCCCGTAACAATAGCCTGCTCCTCTGGTAATTCTGTGACGAAGAGACGGCGCAGCACGGAAAAAGAGAACATAAAGGAGAAAAAATTATTTTTAATTTAGTAAAAAAATGGTGAACTCGGCAATGAAGCAAAAAAGTCGATTTTATCAAAATGTTCGCTAGTTTTCAGCCATTGAATTGAAAAGTCATCAATTAGAAGTGTTCAACATGGAATTTGCCACCATTGAGTGGGCACAAAAAACGTGCTAAATATACGCGAAGTTTCTAATTAATTTGCTTTACTGGCACTTGGGTGAAAAAGCAAGCAGTTAAATTAGCGCCTTTTCGCAATTTCAAACATTTAAGCCGATTTAATATTTTTTCGAGCGCGGCAGCATAGTTTCACTCATTGGCGCTAAATAGCATTAGGATGTGTTTGTATGCGTGTATGTGTGCGTGTGCTTTACTCACCCACAACTTCCAGTTCACCAGAGACCATGGCGGTCTGAAAGGTTGGCGCCTCCACGGAAATCTCGCATGTAAACTTGCCGGATATGTTGAGCGGCACCGCCAGCAGCACGACATGACTTTGATTGGAGAGATTACGCTGTTGCAGTTCCGTAATAAATGCATATAGAAGTAAAAAAGAGGAGAAAAACATTTATGAAATTAATATAATTGAATGTTTTCCAAAAAATGTGCGAAAAAATTCGCATAGCGGAAATTTTGCTAAATGCGATTTGAATGTTTTATTATGGCAAATGTTGCGCAGTAATTTACTTTTCCTACATTACGTACCGTATGCGGGTCAGTATACGTACTATATACATGTATGTATGTGACTGCTTTAAATGAATTCTCAACACATTCATACAAAGATACTTACATGTTTGTATATACTTGTATGTATATTTCGATTTGTATGCGAATGTTGCAAAATTTAATTAACTAGCTTTTGGCGTGCGTTGAAAGGAAATAAAAAGCGGAAGCTAATAACACCTTTTGGGAATATGAAACAATTTATGAATGTTCGCTCTTTTTTACCGAACAACAACAAATTAGATTTTAGCCCTGGAAAATTAATTATTGAAATGAATTAACTTAAAATTAAAGGAACGTGCACAATTTTATGTATCAATAAATGTAACTACATATGTACAAGTATGTTAGTTTGCATACATATATATTTTCGTAACATTTTTATAGCATTGGACCATTGCTGGAGGTGATAATACCCTGAAAAGCATAATATTAATTATGATAGTGAAGCAACAGCGAAAAGCTCATTGCTTTGTTTAATTCTGTACAGCTTAGCTGCCAGCGAAAGAAGTATGCGCTTCAGAGCTAAAATTCTGTTTGCTGTGCAGTGTATGAAATTTTAAAAAGTACGTACAATATTTGTTTTGTGAAGGCATTAAAAGTTATCTCCATTTGCATTGCATTACATTCTCTATGTGACTGCATTTATTTACTCGATGTTCAGTCTTATTTTAATGCCTCATTGCTTTTTAAGTTTTAATATTCTTTTTCTGCAACATTTAACATGATTTTTGTTGAAATGAGCAAAATACAACAACAAAATAATACCAGCAAATAATTGAATGAAAAAGAGAAAATAGCTTCAATTATTCTTTACGAGAAAACAATGTGTGTATATATTATATTTAAAGTAATTGTTTTCACAAATGGGATAATTAACAACAATACAGGTCATTGCAAAAGCTTAAAATTCATAATAAAGCACGAATTCAGACAATTTTTTTTTATTTACGAGTATGTACAAAAGCATACAAGTATGCATGCACTACAGTGATTTTATTGAATTTTAAGTAAATAACGAATTTGCCGAACTAGAGCGTCTTTCACAAAAAAATTTTTTAATTATTTTTGATAAAAAAAATAAAAATTTAGCAAAACTTAAGCATGCATAAGCCCCGGCATCTAATCGAAAAATATTAGTAAAAAGCGTTTTGGTCGTAGAAAGTTTGTTGAAAGAAATGGAATAATTTTTAAATGTCTGCCAGTAAGTACAAAGGAACCGAGTCCACATTAATAATTTTAATAACTAAGGAGCAAAAAGAAACATATATATGCATACCTAAAAGTCAAAACTAAAAGGACCATGCATTCATTAATACTTGATTTCTTTACTGCGTAGTTTGAAAATACGTGTAAAATCTATAAAACTATCAAACTTTTTAAGTAGCTTTTCTAATAAAAATACCTACGTATGTTATATACATCAGCCAAATCGTTGCAAAGAACTATTTAAATAAACCGCTCAACAATTGAGATATTTTACGGTATTCTGTTTTCAGTAGCAAAATATACCGGAAATTTGACTTTTCCAATTTTTTCATTATAAGTTTTAAGGTCTAGAAAGATCCCTAACAACTTATAAGAGCTGTTGCATTTGTGTAACTTTCGGAACTACATAAGACTCGGTTGCGCTCGAATATAGCCCTTATTTTCTTCCATTTATATTGTCGCGCTGCTCGTATTGTTCATGGAAAAATATTTACACACAGATATGCGCATGAAAGTTATCGCGTATACTTGTGTGTGCAATCGCTATTATTTGAATGAATCCCGAACTTAATGAGGCGTTCAGCGTTCAAAGGTAATCATACGAAATGTGCATACGTGGCTACGTACGAACAGGCGCATATCGATTGTGTTACGCAAACGTATCGACGTGTATTTAAATGCATTCAAGGGCACATTTACAACTTAAGCCAGTAGACAGTCATCTACAACAATTAAGGTGTATGTTTATACATATATATATGTATATATGGTATATATTGCACAGGTATGAAAATAAGCATTCGTAATGAGATAATTGAACTCATTAGTTAATCATCACACATGCAACCAACTGTGAGTAGTTGATATCACGTGACTACTACCTTGCTATAATAAATAATAAATATGAGTGCTCCTGCTTTTGTTCCTTTATGGATTTAAAAATGTTGTTAATAAATATATATAATTTAAAATAAATATGTATATATAAATAAAAAATCGACGTTCAGATATTTTGCTTTACAAGCTTAGTTGAATTTTGATACGATTATAAAATTTAAGCTCACAGCAAACAAAATATAAATTGTACAGCAATTATTATTGCAATTTTCAATTATTTTTAGTTCATTATCATTTATCAGCTGAACTTTAAAATAATCTCTGCTTTTGATGTTTTTTTTTTTTTGAAAATAAATTAAGCCTGAAATGTTTAACACTTTTAATATATATGTACATTATGCTGGTTATTTTAAAGGTTAATTTTTTTTTGCCCTAAATAAGTGATTAATTTTGTGCTTAAGTTATGTTTCCTATGTATTTTACATGTTTTGTTTTTGCTATTTTGCAAAAGAATAAACAACTAAACCCACAACTTTCAAGAAATGGTATTCTAATAGAAAATTTAATGCAAAATATCCAATAATCCCATGTAAATACATGGGAAAAAAACATGATTTAGGCATGGTTTAAATTGAAAATAAAGAACTTGTTTACGTTGGATAATTGATTTTTAGGGCAAAAACTGATACCTCAGGTGGCGTCTGCTAAACAAATCAACTTGTAAAATAACGGACACACTAATGTAAATACATCCCTAAATTTATAAAAATGTTGTATTTTTTAACGTGAAATAAATACCTCGATAATTCTTGAACGTTTGAAAAATAAATGAAATAAATATTGACCAGAAAAAACAAAAAATGTAAATTTGAGAAATATTAAAATTTCTATATAAGCGCATTTTTTGTGAGCAGACGATTGAAACTTCCATTGACACTGTTATGCCAACTACAAACATATATGTGTAGGCGCATGCAACATTATAATATTCAGAGTTATTAATGGTTTTTTGTATATTTGTTTGTACATACCTCAACATTTAGTCCGGCGGCCATGGTGAAAACTTTCATTGCCGGATTTTCCTTTGGTGTATAGCGATAAAACTCTCGCCGCCCCTTATACCATTTTATGGAGTATAAAGTATCATTTTCCATATCATAATTGCATATGAGCTGTGCATTGCTGCCACGTTTCACCGCTTGTGGTATTGTAACCGAAACATCCTTGAGTCCAGCAATGAAATCTGCAAAAATAAATAAAAAGTACGAATGAGGTGCTGTAGGTGAATGCTGGCAAAGTGGATGGATAAAAAATTTTACCACGAAAAGTATTAAAACGACCACCAGCATTGTATATATTTTTGTAGTTGTGTGATTTTTTGCAAACTGTTTTATTTATTTTTTTTATAAAAATTGTTTAATACTGAGCTAAAAACCTCAAGCGCCACACCTGCTGGCCAGTGCAGCAGATATAAAAAGGTAACTGTACAGAATAGTTTTACTTTTCCTCACTTAAGATATTTGCCAACGGTGACAGCGGTGGCAACAGCATAAAAGTGTAAATTTGTTTTAAATTCGCACGAAAGTGTCGGAAGCGCTGAAGACAGCGGAGGGAAAAGTAAAAGCAACCATGCACCGCTTCACAAGAGCTGAGCGCACTAGCAACATTGGAAGTGCGCAATAAATGTTCCACTTAAAAATTTCTATGCGCAAACGTTTTGCTGCGGGAATACAGATATAGTTTGCCCCCTCCATAACATCGACACACACACACTCCTACTCGCTCAGCTGCATGCATACACGTAATTATGTATGAATTTATGGAAACGTCCTGTTTCTTATCCCACTTTGGTTTTGATCAGAAATTCGAGTTGATTGCCACATCGAAGTTTTGACCACCCATTGCGGTTTGCAGACCGCAGCAAAGACGCGTCGAGAGTACGTTCATGGTTGTATGCGCGTGACAGCGGTCAACTCTATACATACGTGTGTCTAGTGCTACGGAGGTTTGAGAGTTTTTAATGTCAGCTATCATGCCCTTAGAGCATGCATGTGAATTTCTTGGTATCTCAGCTGATGGAGAAAGTTTTGTGCAGGGAAAAGTGCAAATAATATTGTATAAACCGTATCGAAAAAAAGTTGGAATAAAAGGTGTTATAACGAAAAAATTTTGTTTGAAAAAATTCAAAGTATTTGACATTTGCGAACATGCAGCTTGCATCAATTACAAATACAAGAAATTTATTAATTTTTTCTTGTTTAAATAAGATTTAATTTATTTATATTATTAAACTTCTCCTTGTATCTCTTTATGAGCATTGGTCAAGTTAAGATATTTTAAATAGCTATTTTTCTGGGTACTGTGGACCGACCACACATACGCACGTCCCTTCCGCAACTTAAACGATTTATTTCGCAACTTTGTGTGTGGGCACATATGTGAGCAAGAATTGGAAACGCACACAACTACCAAACCGCTGTTCAAATTTACTACACTAAAAATACGACAAACCTTTCAAAACAAGAAAAAACGACAAGTGTAGTGTTTGAAATTGTAACGGAAACCACGAAAAACTAAAACTTTGTAACGAATAATGAATGTTGTATGCGATTATAAATTGATACCGTACAACAGGTGAGGGTCAACTTTGCAAATGCAAATACAACAACAAAAGAACTAAAAAAGCAGACTACGAGACAGCAACATACTGTAAATACTGGACACTATTGATATTGTCGGCACTGCTTTTTGGAAGCATAGTCTTCTATCCATCCCCCTGTCACTCGAACATACAGACCTTTACTGCACAGACACTCGCATTTAATTCTTAAATATACACAAAGAGTTGTAGTTTCCATTTGACAAAACCACTAACAACCAATGTGTATGTTTTTGAATTTTCAAAATATTACGAAATGTGTGCATTGCTACCGCATAAAAGGGAATAAAATTTATAAAGTTTAACGTTTCCGCAAAATGCTGGCGGAGAGGAGAGAAAAGAGAAGAACATGTAATGATTATATGCTAGTTTTGCATACGTATATTTGGACGAATATGTGCGAATATTTTTGAAACGAAAAATCAAAGTTCAGTTAGTTTCATTATTTTTATAATGAAATTGTAACAAAACTCTTTCGCAAAACTTTTTCATACTCGAGTTTTGTAAACTAAGAGATACATATGTGCTTTTATTTTGGCAGTCAAAAAGCTGAACAGACCTTCAAAAAAGGTGCGAAAATATTTTCAGAGGTACCTACCAAATATTGTATTGAGCTTTAGAAAATCAGAACTTATTTAATTATAAAAAAAAACTTTAACTTCGACTGCACCAAAGCTATAATACCCTTCACAAATACAAAAGATTTCCTACAAGAACTTTGATCGTTCAGTTTGTATGGCAGCTAAATGCTTTAGTGATTCGATTTGATAAATTTCTTCGGAGATTACACTGTTGCCTTGGGTAATAACTCGTGCCGAATTTCGTGAAGATATCTTGTAAAATAAAAAAGGTTTCCATACAAGAACTTGATTTTGATGAAAATTTCAGAACGATATATCAAAAAGAGAGGGACGAGCTCGCGTATATACAAACAGACAGACGGATATGGCTATACCGACTCAGCTCGTCACGCTGATCATTATATATACCATATATTTTACAGGGTATTCGATGTTTTCTTCTCGGTGTTACAAGCTTTCGCAATTTCAAACATTGAAGCCGATTTAATATTTTTTCGGAGAGTAAACTTAGCGAATACCGATTTAAAGGTTAAAAAAAGAATAACTTTGTCCGATTGACTACATTCACTATTAACGGCTATACTTTAGATGGTTATAACTTAAAAACATTTCAAAATTTAATCTAAAAATTTAGTGTGATACTTTGAAAGGTATAAACTATCGAAATATGCAAAAAAAAAATTGGAATTTTAGTTATTTCGCGCTAGGCTTGCGCCTTAAGTTATATATTAACATAAAGTTGTATATTAGAATTAATCTAAAGATCAACGGCAAGTCATTTGGACTCTCCAAAAAGGCACGATCACTGCTTATTTGCAAAGCAAACTAAACACTAATAATTTATTTGACGTATTGACGATAAACGATTTGTCATCACTCATTCATACATATATCTCTGGATATGTGCACATCGACTGACTATATCCTAGTACAGCTAATGATCACATTTTCGCTAAGCTGCATCTTCAGCAAAATTTAACGTCATCCGTGTTAAATACATACTTATATTAGGAAACTTGTGCAACGGTAACCTTCAACTATGCTTTTTTGTTTTGGTTTGTAACCAACCTTTTTGGCGTTCGGTAAATTTAAACTGCATGTATGTTGTTGTATATATAACTCACATTTTTTCGTTGCTCGTAATAAGATTTACTTGCTTTTTCTGCTTCGTCAGGCCACAGGTTTTGTTGGTCTGCACTTTTCACAATGTTTGTTGTACGAGTGGCAAAAATGGTGTGTAGAGTTGCATGTATGTATTCCTTGAATTGCTTTTGTTTGTCTGCTCTTATTTGCAGCAAGTTGGTTAGCTCTTTGCTAGTGGCCAATTGCGCTTGTGCATCATGTTCAACATGTTCAACAAATACAAATATATGTCTGCGTACATAAAACACATGCAATTGCACAGCTGTGCTGTGCTTGTTGTTTGGTTGACCCAGAGCTGGTTGGCGGTGCAAGTTTTAGTTAGCTTTTTGCGCCACGCCACTACTTGCCGAGTATGTGCGCATGTGTGTGCGTAATCGCATTTGGGCATGTGTTAGTGGAAACTTTGGCAATCAACATTTGCTTAGTATTTTAACGGCACTTTTATTTATATTTTATTTACGCTATTATCACTCATTGCACAAAAAAGCAAAGTAGCACGGGGAAGGTTTAGAGACGGAGAAATGGATAAAGACTGTGGAGAGTGATGCGCAGAAATATTATTGTGTTTATATTTATTTATTTTTCTTTTTAAGTGCCGTTTCAGACAGGGATGCAAAAGAGTCTGATGTTTTTCAAATTTTCTTTTGGTGTCGCTCTGGGCATTCACACGGTCAAAAAGAGTCCAGCAACTCGAGTCTAGTTTTTCTGCATTCCTTTTCACAAAATGTTCGTAAATATTTGTGCGGTTCGACTGCGCAACACCGCGCAACACTGCGTGCTGCGTATTTCATTTGTATGTTGAGATGATGGTCACACATTTTGCTTGCAATGAATTACCATGAATATGGTAGAACAATATGCATAATACAAGTACCTACCCGCTAAATAGTTTCAAAAAAATACTAAAGACGGGAATTCCCTAATCCACAAGAATGTATTGAATATCCGCTACTAATATTTTCAAGGCCAAATTTATAATAGGAATTTCCTAATCTTTAAGTATTAAAAACTCATAATTTCTTTACTCCGTATTAAAAATTCATAATTTCTTTACTCCATAATCTATATCTTAATTTTCTCCTTATTTACAATTTGTCATAATATTTCTATTATTCTATGCATACGTATTTGCATATTACATACAAAAATAGATAACAGAACTCAAATTTGCGATCGAATTCATTTGAAACCGAGCGCTCTTGCAACCATTCAAAGGATTTGAAAGTGAAAAGGAATGCTGAAAAGGGTAGCAGCGAGCTGTTACGAACAAGAACACAAAGCGTGCCACCCGAACACGAGTGGCACGGTCCCTTCGTCTTTCCTCGTCATCCCCTCACCCACAATAAACTGGTATGAGACTCTTTTGCGTCCCAATGTGAAACGGCTCTAACTTGCGCAACCACAAGCGATTGAACGTAGACTTTTAACCAATTTACTTTGCTTTATTATTCAATTTGAGTGCTGCTCATTTGGCAGATTTTTTGTGCCCTTGTTTTGAAGCAACAAAAGTAAATAGTATATGTAAACTGCAATATTAAAAAAATTCTTAAAATTTCGCTGTTCAACCATGACGTCAATTTAAGAGGTTATGTAAACTTTTGATTTTCAAAAAATTGTGCATATATTATATTTGAAAATATTGTCTCAAATATTGAAGTACATCTTCCAAATAGTTTCAAAGATTTGAGTGTAATCGGCTCCCAAATAAATCTCTTGTCGGACGTTGTTCGCCTAATCTGTATGGAGCAAGGCAAGGTGGTAGCATCTTGTCTCTTTCTACTCTCTGGCGCTGCTTTTACCAGACTGAGACCGAAATATCTCAATAGACACACTTTCGGCGAACCTAGCGAAGTTTGTGAT